ATCTGTTGGACATAGAGTTTCGAGATCCTTAGTGAACATGGAACGCGAAAAGCCTGGTTCTTCTGAAGCTTTTATTGCCAAACTGATCGAACAGTTGGGAAGGTACGGGAAACTCTAAAAGAACATATACACACTTGTTGCATACAGTATATATCAGTCTGTTTTATTGTCAATACTTTGATCTGATGAACCTCGAAAATCGTCATACAGTACAAAGGAAGTGTCAGTGAAAGAAGTGCAAGACATGGCGATCCGTGTGTTCGCTAAGACAATGAACAAAGATGCAGAGAACAAAAGAAAGCAAGCTAGCAAAGAATTTAGTTCCAATGCAAACTTTAGTCCACTTGCAAGATTCTTATTCTCAAGGTTTGACTGATGATTAACATTAAATCTTTTCCTGAAACGAAAACAGATTAATAACTTCAAATCTTTTCTTTTCTGTGTTTGCAGATGGCTAGGTCAAACATCGCGTGATCTTAACCAAAGTTGAGACACGCACAGAAGACAGAACGTAAGAATGTTGTTTGTGTGTCTTTTACATTGATTTGATGCATTGAATTTTGGTATTTATGTGTATAAATTTTTCATCAGAAAAAGGGTGTATTTATAAATTTTAAGTTTCTTTTTCTTTTTTTAATTGTCATTTCCTTCCTATTTCGGCTCTTTAGTTTTATCTTTATTTTCCCTTCCTGGTTTTTTCGAGGGGAAGCATATTTATTCTTAGTTGTATAATTAAGGGCTTGCCTTTATCTTGTGATAATATGTAATCACTCTTGCCATTTCATTCATAAACCAGTACTCATTATCATTATTTTTGTTTCTCTTTCTTTAACTCTCTCTCTCATATAACAAAAGTCATCAATTTCTTGGCAATTTGTGTGATTCATGAATCGGACAACTCAATGCAGCTGTAAACTGAAACTTTTGACTAACAAGAGTTATTACCATGAGGGGACCTGTAGTGAATCAAAACATATCCTCAAGTTGCAGGAACACTAGCTCGGTCTTGGTTTAGATGGTTAAGTCCCAACTCTCAAATGCCCAGCAAACCGAAGAAGCATACCTCCAGCCCTCACTATTCCAATGGACTCACCAAATCAGTCTTCTAGAAGACATCTATAACGGACTATGTCGTTCACAGCAGCATCAAACAGAAACTACAAAACACAAAGAAACATCTATAACCCTAGTCTCTCTTAGAAATTAAGGTTAATAACTTAATAGTATACTTTCTTATTAATGAATAGAGACCCTTAGAGAACCTCCATCATACCATTGACGGAGGTGCTCCTATATACGCCTTCATCCGACTTAATCATGCAAAGAAAAAAAAACACTTTAACATAGAAATTAAAATATGAAAACCAAATTCATAAAGTAGAACACCAAAACTAAATAATTAAAAGGCTTAAGCGTACCCTAATCAACCTAACCATAGTCTCGTATCAAGTTACTAACACAAACTATTCTTCTTCTTCATTGAGGACAATCAGGCCTTTTCATTCGCATTTGCCATTTCCTCACCTTCAAAAATGAAAAAGAGCCTTGTTTAGTGTATGGGGGATTCCATTTTACCTCCCAAATGTTAAAAACAAAATAGAAACATATTCTTACCAGACTCGGTGGCTTTCGCTCTTCGACGTAGTATTTCCAGCACTGATACGATTTTAAAAAAAAATCAATCAATCACAGATTTGTATTTTCTCTTTTTCTTAGAAACAAAATACGGATAATCTCAACATTACCACCAACAACGCAACCCACAAATCCAACGTCAATAATGCGAGCCGTCAAATCTCGGCCTGTTAGCTATCGCAAATCCGCGTTTTTCCACCAAAACTGTAAACCTGCATTTTTCCGCCAAAACCGCAAACCGGTGTTTTTCCCGCCAAAACCGTTGACCCACGTTTTTCCGCCAAAACTATAAACTCGCGTTTTTCCGGCAAAACCGTAAACCCGTGTTTTCCCGCCATAATCGCATAACCATGTTATAGGAAACGTGGTTTTATGTTTTCTTTTAAATATTTTAATCAAAAATTGAATTTAAGTAGAATATTAGTTTTAAATATATTTAATATTTTGCTCTTTTAAAAAAAAAAAAAAAAAAAAAAAAAAAAAAAAAAAAAAAAAAAAAATTTTTTGGCCCTTTTTTTTAATTTTTGGAAAAATAAAATTTTTAAAAAAAAAAACCAAAAAAAAAAAAAAACAAAATGGGCTTAAAAGGAGTCCCCTTTTTTTTGGGGAAAACCCCTTTTAAAAAAGGGTTTAAATGGGGGAACCCCTTTAACCCCCTTTAAAATTTTTTTCTAAAAGGGGTT